TTTCGTTACCAATAAAATAAAAATCTCTCAGTCAATCAGAAACCCGGATTCATGCCTTTGAGGAAGGTCCCGTTTGAACGCTCACATCGTTTTTTTTTTCGTTTGGGGGAAAACTAAAACTGGTCGCAATTTTCGAATAAGAATGAGTCGGCAATTTTTAGTGGAGTCGAAAATTTGGAGGTAAATAAAACACCGAAACCCGACAAATAAATAGGCGTTCGAATTTTTAGAGGGGTCGAAATTTTGGAGTTTTCACGGTACTAATTATTCCATTTCAATGAAACTTAGTACAAAGATGCTCTAGGACAATGTACAAACCTAATTAGTTTGGGGTAAAAATCTGTTCATATTAATTCCCTAATAAGCATAATAATTCATAATTTTTTGGTTCTAATCACATTTCAATTAAACTTGGAGACATAGATTTTCTGTTACATTGCGCAGACCTCATTAGTTTTACACTCAAATCTGGTCATATTAATTTTCTGATTTGCATAATTAGTTTTCAGCTAAGTAATTTCGAATTATATTTAATGTGTCTCCAATACTCTCAGCACATGAGAGTTCTTTCTAAGCTTTCTTTGTTTTGAACTGAGGTCAAATCCCAGCCGTTTGTCAAAATATACCGATGTTTTTCAGTGAATGATTGTGAAGCCTGTCACAGCACAGTGAATCGACGCCGGAGATTGGACAGTACGACGACCTTCAATTAGCGTCAAATATGCTTTGTTACAACATCATTGATTTGCTAAAAGTCACCTGATCGGAGTACGACCTGGGTCACAGAACCATATTTGTCCGTATTATCAACGGGACTTTGCGAGAGAACCACACCCACATTTTCAACCATTTTTAGCGCGGAAGTTGCCAACAAATGTCGAAAAACTTGTGAATTTTATGGATTTGAATAAAATAAAGCTAGCGGTTGGTAAGACTGGTTAATAATATATCCCCCGATGCTCTTCGAATTTTTTTAATTTTATTTCAAGGTGAGAAATAGATAATTGAAGTTCCATCGATTTCAAGGCGACTGTTTCACCGCGACAACTCTACGCTGTGTTGTAGTTTCACAAGGTAAAAAAATA